TGATAAGCAGAGACGTGAAGGTAATAAATGAAATGTATTACGAAAGCAAAAATGATACTTATGAAAGTCTTATTGAAAATGAAAATAAAAAAAAAGATAGCAAAGCAGAAGTCACAAATATACAATTCGAAACAAGAATGAATGATGACTTAACTGTACAGCAACTTGATATTACAGATGTTGTAAATAACCCTAATTCAGATGTAAATACAGATGAAAATGAGATACATCCGGTTGTACGACCTCAAAGAGAACGAAGACCGCCAATAAGGATGAATGACTATGTACAAATTAATGATAATAATTGTGAAATTGATGAATATTATGACATAAACATAGCAGAACAATCACACAAATGTGAAGATGGTGATGACGAAGATTACCATGATGCTATAAAATCTGAAATCAGAGCTCATATCAAAAATGGTACATGGCGGATAGTTTCTAAAGAGAAAGATACGAGACTAATCGGATACAAAATTATTTTAAAAAAGAAAATTGGCCCAAACAATGAAATTAAAAAGGCCAGACTAGTCGCACAAGGCTTTACCCAAAAACCTGGGATAGACTATAATGAAACTTTTGCACCTGTTGTAAAATTGAGTTCCATAAGAACAGTTGTAGGAATGGCATTAGAAGAAGACCTTCATTTATGTCAAATGGATGTAACTACAGCATATTTAAATGGTGACCTAGATGAAAGAATTACAATGAAAGTTCCAGAATGTCTAGAAGAATATGTATCAGAGGTGATGATAGATGAAATAGATAAAGAAGATCTGACTGTATATAATAAAGCTAGAAAAATGCTCGAAGATCTGAAAGGTATAAAAGGTGACAAAGCCTGTTTACTAGAAAGAGCGCTATATGGATTAAAGCAGTCAGGACGTCAGTGGTTTAAAAGACTAGACACTGAACTTAGAAAGATTGGCTTCGAAACTTCATCTGCTGATCCATGTCTGTACATATCAATTAAAGGAGGAGATAAAACAGTCATTACGATCTACGTAGATGACATTTTGATGGCTTACTCACATCCTGAAACCGCTAAACATATAAAAAGGTTGTTGTCAAAACAGTTTGAGTTAAAAGATATGGGCAAACCCAAAAGACTCCTCGGAATTGATTTCATATACAATGACGAAGGTATCAAACTATGCCAAGAGGCATATATTGAGAAAACACTCAAAATATTTGGCATGGCTGAATGCAAAGTATCAAAGACGCCAATAGAACCTGGTATCTGTCTCATGAAGAATCCCAAGAAAGAGGGGGATAACCTACCGTATAAAAATCTAATCGGTAAACTTATGTATCTTGCAATTGCTACAAGACCAGATATAATGTTTGCGGTCAGTTATCTATCGCAATACAATGATTGTTACGGAGAGGAGCATTTTAAATGTGCCAAAAGAGTACTAAGGTACTTAAAAGGGACTAAGTGCATGGGACTGCTATACCAAAAGACGAATACAGATTTGTTCGGAATGGCCGACGCCGATTGGGCTGCTTGCAAAGAAGATAGGAAATCCTTTTCAGGATATATTTTTAAATACGCGGGAGCAGCAATCAGCTGGGCATCTCGAAAACAGCGTGCAGTAGCACTATCTACGGCTGAAGCCGAATATGTCTCATTAACGGAAGCTGCTAAAGAGGCAATTCACTTGGGTTTAATTCACAAAAGCTTGCATTTACGGCAAGAGAAGCCCATAACAATACATTGCGATAATCAAGCAGCCATAAAACTTGGAACAAATCCAATGGTAAGCTCGAAATCGAAGCACATTGATATGAAGGTTCATTTTATAAGAGACTGTGTTTCCGAGAAGAAGATTGAGCTTAAATTCATAAGGACTGAAGAAAACGAAGCTGACCCTTTGACCAAAGGTTTACCAGGGCCGAGAATTTTCCGTCTGAGAGCGATGATTGGGCTCAGTGAATAAAAGCCATAGGAGGAGAAACTATCCTCTATCCTGCTTTCTGAGGAGGAGTGTTGGTAGTCAACCAGCAAGGCACGATATTCGACCTCCGTAGAGCATCGCTAATACATACCATAGTGTAGCTATGAATTGAAAACGTCTGTCGATTTGTGGTGTCATTAAATTAAAATATTAATAGATATACTTATATAATAAAACGTTATTGTTTCATAGAAACTGCTGTTTAATCTCCCTCTAACATTAGAACTGGCCACTTATAAACAATATAATAAAAAAATAATTCTAAAATTTGAAAATATAACTCTTTGCCAATATTACTGAGTATATATTTCATTCATTTGTCATTTGTTTTACGATTTGGCGGCAAATTAAAAATTGTCTGTGTCACGTCATCATGAATTTAACACGAGAAAATTTTCGTGCAATGATTTTTTATGACTTTCGATGTCATTTAAGTCAACAAGAAAGTTATGATAGACTACGATTGGCCTTTCACGATGAAGCCCCATCTCGTGCGACTGTTTACAACTGGTTTAATGAGTTTAAACGTGGTCGCACTAATCTCACTGATGATTTACGTGAGGGACGGCCTTCTACGGCGACGACTGAAGATAACATCTGTGTTGTGCGGCGTATGATAGAGACTGACAAAAGAGTGACCTATCAACAGATTCGGACAAGCTTAGGCATCGGTATGAGTCAAGTGCACAAAATCCTCCACGAACATTTAGCGGTCAGGAAGCTTTGCGCCCGGTGGATACCTCATAATTTGACTGAGGCTCAAAAACTCCATCGTGTGGATTGGTGTCGTAAAATGATTGAAAGATTTAACGGAGGTGACTCAAATGCTGTGTTCGACATACTAACAGGTGACGAAAGCTGGATTTACTGTTATGATCCTAAAACCAAAAGACAATCTGCTCAGTGGGTGTTTCCTTTCGAGGAGTTGCCAACTAAAGTGAAGAGAGATCGAAGTGCGGGAAAAAAAATGGTGGCCTCGTTCTTTGGAAGGATAGGTCATTTTGCAACAATTGTGTTAGAGGATCAAAAAACAGTTTCTGCAGAATGGTACACTACCAATTGTTTGCCACTTGTCTTGGAAAAAGTTCGAGAGAAACGACCTCGCAGTAGGATCCTCCTTCACCACGACAACGCCTCGTCGCACACCGCCAAGCGAACGATCGACTATTTGGCGACATCAAACGTTGAATTACTGGGTCACCCGCCGTATAGCCCCGACCTCGCGCCTTGTGATTTTTATTTATTTCCAAAAATTAAAGAAAAACTTAAAGGAAAGCGGTTTATGAATGCTGAAGAAGCGGTGGCTGCGTATCGCGATGCCATTGAAGAGACCCCTAAGGACGAGTGGGCAAAGTGCTTTTCCCAGTGGTTCCATCGCATGCAGCGGTGTATTGACGTGAATGGACAATATTTTGAAAAGATATAATAAAACTAATAACTGGCTAATGTTTTTGATTTTCTAAGAACTTTCAGTTTGACCCTCGTATAATATTCTCATCAAACTACACCAAATCGACACATCCGATAAGACAAAAGAGTAAATTTATATGTCACAATATATATTTTTCAACACAATTAATCTGTGACTTGAGTTTTATTTATCAGTTTAAGTTAATACCTAAAAATATGAGTCTAAACTAAACAGAAACGCGGATTATTCAAATTCCTGCATTTTTTAACACTGACTTCAAAAATTACTTTATTGGTCAGATAGAAAGTGGGGGGCCCGTAGCGTTTGCTACTTGTGCTGCGTGGCTAACCCGGCACTGTATTTTTGTAAATCGATGTTATTGAAGTCTTCTTCTTCTATTTTTTTATTAATGGTTTATCTGCGCATTTCGCACAATTTTGCCAATGTTCAACGTCTACTCGGAGGTCTAATAGGGATGTCGGAATTGCAATTAACTATCGATATCGATAATTTTATTTAAAAATAAAAATATCGTAATATCGATATTTTTTTATCTTAAATATATCGATTTAACGGTGTGATATGAACAAAAAGGTCTAATCTACTTCAGTCATCTCAGGTTCTAAAGAACTTAGTGTAATATCATCCACTTCACTTGACTTGCGTGTTTAGTTTTAAGTTGGAGAAACACATGGTTATTCTTGTTTTTTAGATGTTCACCTAAATTCATCGTATTGCTGGTTTTATACCTTTTTCCACACATATTACATGAAACATTTTGTTTGTCTATTTTTGGAAAAGTTCCATACAACACTAGATATGAGCGGAATGCTCAAATTTATTATTGATTGAATAAGTAAGATTGTAGACTACAATCAACTAAAATGCAGAAAAAACCGCGCGTTGAGTTCGTGACGGATTACGGATAACCAAACAGTAAAGTGTGCGTATAACAGAAATTTTCTCGTTCAAATAAAAGAAAAGAAAGTATCGCTTTTGATATTGATATCAATATATCGTAACAAAATATATCGCCCAGAAATATCGATATATCGAAAATGATATTATCGATATTTATTAATATTTAATTATGATTTATCATAGGGATGATCAAATGGGGAAAAAATATCGATATTTTTCAAACGTATCGATAAATATTGTCAAAAATATATCGATATATTGATATTTTCTGCGTAATAACCGATTATCTATTAAATTTGACAAAACATTCGAAATTTTAAAGCAAATAAGCACCTTGCTGTTTTGTTATTTACAATAGGTACATAAAGCCAAGAAAACAACATCTTCAACATAACAAAAATTACATTATTCAAACAAATCAGTATTTGTCTGATATTAACATCAGAAGCATTCTCACTGATACCAACCAAAGTAATAAGCAGTGTCATCGACATAAAGAAACAAAAAAGACAAGCAGGTCATAAACTGTAATTTCTAAACTAATACAGCCTACTGCCCACCTACTCTTTTTAAATTTAAGAAATACATGAGGAGACAGCAGAACTTTAAAAAATATATCGATTATGATATCTGAAAATAAATATCGGAAGCCGATATATCACGAAAAAAATTTATATCGATATTTTAATATATGAACAGTTTTTGCCCAATCCTAATTTATCAGGTGGTGATGACACTTTGGTGTACTTAAGTACTCAAGTAAAATTAATTAATTATTCCAGCGGAATTAAAGTCTGCCCGCAGTGATTTTACGTTTCTTTCGCATATCTATTAAATGCGAGAGTTGTATTACTAAACATTTTTATGTGTTGGCTTTAGTGTGTGCTCAACAATGGCCAAAACAAAAGTGACTGGAGCAACTAGCAGACTGAAGCAAGATTATCTCAGACTTAAAAATGACCCTGTTCCATATGTAACTGCGGAACCTGTACCTTCGAATATACTAGAATGGCATTACGTCGTCAAAGGCCCTGAGAAAAGTCCTTACGAGGGCGGATATTATCACGGCAAAATAATATTTCCTAGAGAGTTTCCATTTAAACCTCCCTCTATTTATATGATTACACCTAATGGGCGATTTATGACTAATAAGAGATTGTGCCTTAGTATTACCGATTTTCATCCAGACACTTGGAACCCTGCATGGTCTATTTCTACAATCCTCACTGGATTATTGAGCTTCATGCTGGAGAAGACTGCAACATTGGGATCCATTGAAACTTCAGATTATCAAAAGCGTTGTTTGGCTGCGGAATCTTTAGAAGTGAATTTAAAAAATAAGATGTTCTGTGAATTGTTTCCTGAATATGTGGAGGAGATTGAGCAGCTGTTGAAACAGCGTCGGGAAGCAGCTATGTTGCATTCAGATTCCAATAATGTTAGCAGTGAAAGTGAAGTGACAATGGAGCAGCAATCAAACATGTATTACATTATGACTAATTTGTTTGTCATAGTCGCATTTGTTATTCTTGCATTTATGGTTAAATTTGTTTTAGTTTCAATATCTAATGACTAGGATCACAGTTGTATATTATGTGTAAATAATGTATATTGTTTTGTAAATATGTTTTCAATAAGTTTGCAAATAATTTTACTTAACCAAGTTAAATGTGCAAGTTTTTGTTGTGATATTTATATTTTCATGTTTTTATCATACTATAGAAGGATATTAATTATTTTTATATCCAGAAAGTATTATTTTATCATAGATGTTAACCTATTCAATGTAAAAGATATTTGTGTTATTTGGAATTTGACACAAAATTAATAAATGAAGCAGCACCAATTATTTCATATTACATAAAAAAAGTATTGTTTTTGATTTATATCTTGAATTTAAAAATTTTCTTTTACAATAACTGATTTACTGCAAAACATTAACACACAAAGGATGATACCTATAGTTATATGATAATTAACACTGTGCCTAGCTGCTAAATAGTACTAAATTTATAGTAAAAATTAAACCTGAATCCCTCGGCAAATAAGGCTGTTACTGTGAGCAATAACTATATTACAGTGATTTTTAAATGTATCTCTATGCTTTAAAATACATATATGGTATAAAAGCTTAAAAACTATATATTCTTTGTAGAAATTACCTTATCTATTTCATGCTGCTGGTATGGCTTGCAATAAAATGTAATAAAATATGAGAAATATTTAAAAACAGATCATATAACCATACCTACTACAATTACAGAATAATTGAATAATATTAATAGACATCAACTAGGGAAATAGGTCAATGTAAAATACAATCTGATTATATTTTAAATTCACCTAAGTGGATATTCAAGTGATTACATTGTGAAACAAATTTTAATCAAAGTTTTGTGACTCAGAAAATGTTTCATTTTCATGGTTCTTATTTAGAAACCAAATAAATATTATTTTAATGAACAATATGGAGATCTGTTAAAAAATAAGCATGGTTACAATTTTCTGTAAGTATTATGTAATATTCTTACTGCACTGTGTATTTTATATTCAGGTCCTCATGGTTTATTTAATGATCTGTTTATACTTTTCATGTTATTGAATAGTGATTGTGACTACAATTAATGTAGATATTGAAAAGAAAAATAGTAAGCAGCAGATTTTTTTAAATAAATATGAAAGCCAGAAATTTTCTACTTATTTTGGGATAATAAACTCTAAACCCTTTTAAAACAAGTTCTGATGTAATTACAGATTGAAATACAAAGAACACTTTATTACGCAATGATATATATTTAATATAATTCCATACAATTTGTATCATTTACCTCTTCTATATTACTTATTACATCTGTCATATCAACATCAACCTTAAATAGCCATTATATTTTCTTGAGATGGGATACAATGCAAATTTCCATACACTATTAATGTGTGACAAAGTTATTATAAAATTTAATAATTACTTAATAATGCAATGACTATGTACTAAAATCATTTACACTTAATTTTATCTGTCTATTCCAAAAGACATGTATGTATGCAATATAACAAACATTAGTTTCAAACTAAAACAGATCATAATGAACTTGTAAAGTTTTAATAAGAATAATCTAGGTACAACAACTACCTTGCTTTTTTTTATCTTAAAGAAAGTTACTTAATTAAACTAAAATTACAGTTAAGTATAATTGATTATAATTGCTCCTTATGGTAGCAGAACTTATGTATATCCATGCCAACTTACTCTACATTAAAATTAAAATTATCTGTACAGACATTTTCGAGTTCTATCAATATATACACAGTGAAAAAATTCAATTGTGAAAGTTGTCTTAATATCTACTTCATTCCTTGGTTTCCTCATCTTCATCATCCCAATCACTAACTAAGCTTTTTATATTATCATCTGGTTTAGATTCGTTTTCTTCAGATTTTTTATTTACCATAACATCATCATTAGTTTCGTTTTGGTTGATTGTTGTTTGAACTTCATTCTCAATGACGGATGTCTGAACTACATTATCATTTTTATTAGTAGACACATTTTCTTCTTGTGAATCATTGTCTTCCCAATCATTTAAAAGGGAAGTAATTTTCACTTGATTGGTATCCATATTTGTATTTGTTTCTTCATTTTGTTTAGGAGATTCTGGATTAATAGAATCTAAGTGTTTTTCATTTGAGTCAATATTCTCTTCACTTACTGGCATTTCATCAATATGAGAAAGTTGTTTTTGCATTTCTTGTTGTATATTTTCAATAGATTCTTCAACTTCAGATTCTTCAGTGACTTGAGCTTCTATTTCTGCTTCTGGATTTTTTATTTCTTTCACAGGTGCTTCTGTAACCAAATCATATTCATCTTCTGACCACTCTGAGGTTATATTTTGAATCTGTTCAACTACTTTTGGGGCTGATATAGATTCGGTATTAGTAGGTTGAACTGTATCATGAAGTTCTTCCATTTGAACCTCTTCAGTGTTATTTGTAGTGTTATGTTTGATATTTTCATCACTTTCCTTTGTTTGTTCTACAATTTCTTGTGTATTTTGTGATTCAACAAATACATTGGATGTATCATGAACTGTACAGTGTTCATCTTGTGACACATCAGATGATTGCGGTAATTCTTCAGTTTCAATTTGATCAACTACTTCAGTGACCACTTGTTTATCAGCAATCACTTCTGTTGCAATATCAATATCCATCACTTCTGTTGAATTGTTTTGGATTTCTTCAATAATAACCTGTTTAGCAGTGTGTTGTGCTTCTAAATTAATAGAATTTCCTTCAATAATATTATGAGACAGTGTTTCTAACGTAACAGCATCAACTTCAGATGATTCAGTTGTTGAAGATAACTGAATTTCAGGGAGTTCTGTTAAAGAAGTATTGGGGACAGTTACAGTTTGTTCCATAGTTTCATCAATTTCTTTGCATTCAATTTCACTGACTTTATTATCAGTTTTCAGTGCTGTTTCTTGAATAGTGGTCGTAGCATTTGTTTGTTGTGGCCATGATTCTTCTATTTGTGCTTCGATGACATGATTGTTTAGAATAGATGTACTAGTTGTAACAGTTTCAAAATTTTGTGTCATTACTTCAGAAGCTTGTACAAATTGTGCGCCTATTTCTGGAGGTGTAATGATTTGATATTGTTTAGGAGGACTTTCATGTCCAACTGCATGGCTATATACTACTACAAAGTTGGAATCGGCTGAAACTGCAGAAACAGTTTCAGATACATTTAAAGGATAATCTTGTTGAATAATCATCATATCACCAGGCTGAGAATTTTGTAATTCTATAGCTGTATTATTAATAGAATTTGCATGAGGAGCTGTTAAAACTGTTAATGTTTTGTTAGTATCACCATCATCAAATATAATTGAATGATTTGAAGACATTAAAGCTTTATATTCTTCTTCATTTGATACTACTATTTGTATTGGCTGATTTATATTTGCTGATTTTTTCATTATCATTTTAGATTGTTGTATATTTGTATCTGTATTATCTAAATTTGCAAATTCAATGGTTGTGGTTGGTGTTATACTTGCCTCCAAATTCGTTAATTTTGGATCACTTTCAGCAACAAATGGCATGTTACTTAATACATATTCCGTATTTTCAAGTGTTTTCTTGGGTATGAGCTGGTTTTCTTTCATTACATATTCGTCCCCATCAATAAGAACAATGTTTTCATCATTGGCTTGTGGAGATGGATTATCAATTTCTTGAGTATATTCATTATGAATGATAGGAGTCACTTTTTGTTTAATAGCTGGCTTAGTAGAATGCGTACTGAATCCAGGATTAAGAATTTTATGTTTTGCGTTCTGTGTAGGCATAAGTGCTTTCTTAGTGGATGTCTTTACGTCTGTTTTTGGTTGCGCCTGGTATTGTACACTGTTATCTTCATATTCATTGTCAAATGAATGTTCATATTTTATATCTGCTTTCATGTCATGAGTTACTTTAGGTTTTACTTCAATTTGCCTTTCATCATCTGAATCTTCTATGATACCATCTCTTATGGCCACATCTCGGTGACTTGTTTTCAGGTGTACATAAAAGTTACTTTCTCTTAAGAATACCTTCATGCAATATTCACATTGGAAATTCATATTTTTCTCTTTAGCCAGATGTCCTGTTTTATGCATATGATGAAGCAATTGATTTGTCGAGTTAAAGCTTGCTGTACATACATGACAACGGAAAGTTCTTGAGTCAGTATGGGTTAATTTGTGCTTTATGAGAAAAGCTTCAGTGAGAGCCACATAATCACAAAGATTACATTTAGGGAAATTATACTGAGGGGGTGGTGGTACCCCATGTTTTGTATAAATATGATGAAGTAAGTAATTTCTCTTGTATGATCTAAGCCCACAATATTCACATATTGTTGATACAGGTTTTTCATTATGCACTTCAACCAAATGCCGTCGAAAATTGTAGTACGAAGTAAAGTTCAGAGCTCTACCAGGAGTACCACAGATGAGGCATATCCATGGCCCTTTAATATTTTCTGCTCCCATAGCAATTAGTTTAGCAGCTTCCTTTGAATCCAAGACATCAGTTTCATAAGAAAAAGCAACTTCAGGTTTCGGTTTTATTTCAGCCTTTTCTTCAGGTTGTGGGGGTTTCTTTGTTTTTGTTGAGGAATTCACAATTTTAAGTTTAATATTTTTATTGCTCTTGACCAAGTGAGGATATTTTTTTAAAACTTCACTTATTATTTTTGCATGATCTAAGTTACCTGCTTGTTTATCTTTGCTTTCAATTGTAACTTTTGGACCTCCACTACTGTCTAACATTTGATCAAACAATTGGTTTGGGTCCTTGTCTTCATCTTTTACACTTAAGTATGCAGATTGAAACATATCATCATCAGGACAAGCTTGGATACAATCATCTTCAAAGAGGTTATCACTTCTTGAATTTTTTTTACATTCAACAATATCAACTGTTGTCTTTTTGCCTTTTCTCAATCCAGATGCTTCAGTAAATATATTTGATCTTTTAGAATAGTGTTTACTAGTTTCTGGATGAACCATTAAAGGTGTTGATGTGTAAGATAACTTTGAAAATGAATTTTCAAATATATTATCTGTATCCAATTCCTCTGGTAACTCGTATCTTGTAGGCCGGGCACCTCCCAACACAAATTTCTTTGTATATAAATCATTATCTAGTGGAATGGGAGATGGAGCACGGATCCCATTGTTATTGGGAGATGTATTTTTAGGAACACTAAACTTCTTCTCCCTATAAATGATTTTATTGTTGTTTTGTGATTTGCTTTTCATAACCTCTGAGGTTTTATTGCTCATGATTGCCTTGTTAGTGTCTGCAGATTTTTGAGGGTATGTTTTGTAATTATCAAATGCTTTATTAAATGATCGTTTGCCGAGACTAGAATGGTTTGAATATTTTGATGTTTTTAGTAGATCATTTGATTTTGAATTAATTTTCATTCCAGAATATCTTTGGGATGATGATGTCTTTACATGCATGGTTCGATGAGCCTCAAGAAGTTTAGTTAACACTGGCATATTCATTACTAGAGACGTTTGGTATAGCTTCTCAAGAGAATCCATTTTAAATTCTAGCTGTCCAGTATACATGAAGTTGATGATTGGCACAACGACATCTGCTTGTAAATCATCTGGCATCACCAGACAATCTTCATACATTTCACAGGTTCTCTCTAATAGTTCAAAATATTCTGTGCAGGCATTTAACACCAGTCTGTGGACTTTTAACTGAGCATTATCTTGAAATTGTAGAGTTAAATCGCAGTAATCTGTTCTATTGAAAAAGTGCTTTAGTCTTTGGAGGAAATATATTCCCCAGTTGTCAACTTTCACTTGCTTCACGTCAGACATTGTGAATGAAATGCTTCTAGTTAGATGGTTATTATAAAGTAAATAAACTGCATCCTTACACTGAAATGAACAAAACAAACTTGTTTAGAATATTTAACTTCATGCAATTTTGACATTTAGAGTTAATATAACAAATCGATCGGTATCAAATAATTTTGGGTGGCTAATTACGTTATAACTCGTGTTCAGAGGGAATGTGATTTTTGTTGAAATTTTACAGTTAAATATTCCGCCACATGAAAAGTGTTTGAATATGGAACTTACCAATAATCATAAAAGTACAAACACTAAATAGTATTCTAAATCTTGCTCTTGTCGCACCGCACCACAAAATAATTACTGCATCAGATACATCTGAAGTTGACACTAAATGCGCAAGATGGCGGTGTCGGCGTACTCTATTTTTTGACCGACCGACGCTGGCTTTACTACGGTCGATGACTTGAATGAGTGCAAGCATAGACAATCAAAATAGATTCTTTTAAATCAATTTTTAATAAAATATTTTATAAATAAAGGTATTACTTTACTTATATGATTTTTGTTATTATTTCACTGCACTTTTTGTAATTATATTACGTAATTTACTTTAAAATTAAGTACTTTTTATTACATTTGGCTTTGCTTTCCAAGTAAAGTGCTGACATCTAGGACAATGTAGTAAGGGAAGATGAACTATTGATTAAATGCGTTTCGTTTTCGCTTTGAACAAAAATTATACGATGCTATACAAAATAAAATAGTGATGCCTATATAAGTTATATATAATACTATTATGGCCTTATCGATACAGTAGATGGCTCTGATTGGAAAATTAATATGTTATTCATATTTTACTTATGTATTAAAAATGTTACAGTCTGATGTGTGTTTGATAAAAGGTAACTGTAAAATCTTTGAGAGATTTAATGGAATTTGGTAATGGAAATACTCAAGGAGTTGCATAGTTATTTTGAATATATATATTTTAATCAAAGAGTTATACTTAGTGGAATAGAGTAAAGCCAATACTGAATATTAAAATAGAATAAACCTACATTCTCGGAATTTATATTTGGTCTGAGCCTATATTATGAAATTATTTCTTTATTCTCTTCTCTACTTAACTCAAATATCAATATAGTATTGAAACAATTTATGAAATAGTAAAAACGATAGTGAACGCTAATTGCAATTTTGTTAATTTCTTACTTGTCAATCTGGGACCATGACAGTGGACCGCCAAAATGATTCAATTAGTAAAATTAGTACTGAGGGTACTTTGCGTTATTGTTATAATCGGCGTTATTGTACTGCTATTGCTCTGTACCCAAATAGTGCCATAGGATGTTTCTAACGAAATAGCTAATTTACAAAATTAAATAAAATTATTTGTAAATAGTTTTCAGCGTCGTCTACTAAGTGTTTGTGGGTCTTCTGCGTGTCCAAGTCGTCGTGATAGTAATAATCAGGGATGCAGGGAGTATCCGTAACCGAAACTAACGGGCATTCGAATAAAAAAAATATCCGTATTCGTACGTACCGAATAATAAAAATTTCAGACAATTTCGGATTGGGGCAAAAACTACTTTTTTTGTTATTTTATGATACAAGTGTTTCAGTGTTATTACTTTAGATACTCGCATTTTTTAAAGTATTAATACGATTGGTATACGTGGGGTAGAAGACTCACGAAAATAGTAGGTATATCTGTGGCAGATATCATATGGATGTGTTATTTTGGTTTCGGATATCTGAAATTGGTAGCAGAAACTAATAATTTCTGTTACGGTTATGATTATTTTTCGAAAGGTTCGGAATAGTTCGGATAGTTTCAGTTAATGATATTTGAATTCTGAGAAGCTTTAAAACAAAAATACAAATTTACAATACATTTTCTAGAGGTATTTCATTTGATACTTTCTATTTGATCTTTCTATTCTATTTCTATTTCTAAAAACCCTCTCAATTATGGTGCAATAAATATTTTTTACATCATGTCAGATTAATTATAAGTATAGTGAACAACACTTATTAATTTGTATTTAAATAGAGGATAAAAATCAAACAGAAATGTAAATATAGTAGGTAATTTATTGTTATAAGTATTTGATCAATTTTGCTTTCAGTGCTATACTATCTCAGAGTACCTGGGATAAAGTGGATTATTTAAGCTTTTTATTGGTATAACAATAAATTACACTATAGCAATTTATTGTTACACCAACAAAAATAGCGAACTACAGTTTTGAATTGCATAAAAATGTTATATTTGCCTTTAAACTAATGTGGGTCGGGTGATACTTCTGAAATTTAACTGCCGGTTTGATATATCTGTCATTATTGTTCTTCAAAAATAATTAATCGTGACTAATATTTTTTAAATTTTAAAATCTATATAGAATCCAGTATCGTAGCAGGCTGGTCACCAATTTAAAAAAAATATATATAAATCAGATTTAATTATTATTGAAGAACCATAATGACGGATGTATCAAAGCGGAAGTTTAATTTCCGTAGAAACACTCGGGCAGAATGGCGTTGCTTTCTAACGGATCAAAGTAATCTTGCCCTCCAAATTATTCGTCATCGCAAAAGCATGTGGAACGCCTTGTCGTTGTCGCTCTAATGCAACACTTTCGATGTCTTTACTATACTCTGAGGTTAATGGCCGATTTTTAGTCGCATACTTACAGTTTATGGACTACTGATTAAGATTTTTCTTATTCAATTGATTTATTTTAAACTAGCTTTTGCTCGCGATTTCGTCCGCGTGGTAAAGTTTCTTTGGGCAGCATACATTTTTCAAAATCGCTGTTGATTTTCGAGTTGATGGTGAAATTTCCTTGATATCCAATATGTTTTATCACTTTATCTTTGAAAACTTTAGAGATATTAATCCAATCCAATCCAATTTGAAATACAGATGGAAAAACTGTTCTGAAGTTTACACAAAACTTAATCGAAACCGTAATCTACGCAAAAAAATTTTTGAAATTTAATTATTTGCTGAAATAGCTTGTTTATTCGATATTTATATATGATTACTTACTCTTGGCCACATCATGAAGAAGTCATACTATCAGCCACCCATATCGTTAAACGCAAATCGTTCATTGATCGGGCAGCAAGATTTTTCCATTTCATAAAATAAAAACATTTTATGAAATGGCTGGCTGCATCATGAATTGGTCAATTCCACGATCTGGCCACGACATTTTTACTTGGAAACCTATACTAAGATGCTTACATAATATGAATTAACAAAAATAGGCTTTGTGAAAATTATCAACTTGAAAATCTTAAGATCTAGCAATACTTATTCTCAATAAATTAATTATTGATGAAATGAAAACACAAATAATTGCAATTTCTTTAATCTAAACTTGGAGCAACATTTTAATGTTTTTGATTTAAAGCCTGGGCAAAGTTCTTTGATCAAAATAATAACACGATTTAGAATATATTCGCCATCAGCTGCTGAAAAGTTATTCTAGGTTAATTTTCTAGGCAAAAAATTCTGCGATTTAGAATTCATTGAACGCCATCTAGTGTAGTTCATATATATACAATATAAAAATAATTTTTCTTTCGTTAACAAAATTACTTGAATTTGAATATTTTTATCCATTAAAATTTCAAAAATGTAATATGTATATACTCAAATACCAATTTTCATCGCTATACAATAAAACATTTTGTAAATAATATTAGGTATATTTATTTCAATGACAAATCAGATTGTAAACAGTGGTTGCTATGGAAACATTTTGGTTCCCCATAAAGCCTTTCACTTTTATCCCTTTAAGTGCTAGTTTTCGGGATAAAATATAACCTATTACTTTCCTAGGGTTATAAACTACCCAAATACAAATTTTCATCGACATAGGTCCATAAACAAAGAAGTTTCATACAATCTTTTTCACCCTTTTTGACCCCCTTCGGGATGGAATTTCTAAAAATCCGTTCTTAGTACACCTCTACGTATTAAGGGGAATGTTCCCTCCGAATTTCAAGTTTCTACGACCAGCGGTTTAGGCTGTGCGTTGTCTGTCAGTCAGTAAGTCAGGACATCTCCTTTTATATATGTATAGATTATATTGTACAGTTTCCATTAGATTCACAATCCACAACCGACAATAGGTTTTAATACAATAGGTATAATGGCGCGAATCTCATCTAACGCCAATGTCAAAGTGCATTGCCAGCTCACTGACAGATAGTGATTCTCGTGATGCAATTGATAAATAGTGATGTCCATGGTATTTGAAGTTTCCATATAACACTAATTATTTTAATTATGCTTGCACCTAATACTTGCGCTCAAGGGCGTATAGCGGTACAATAATATATTTTTAAATTAAAAATCACAAATATTTTAGGTCATTACCTTTCTTTTTGTAGCCAGTCGTTGCAATTTTCTTCTTCGGGCTCGAACAGTAATCTGCAATCATAATTGGTATCTTATTCACCTAAGTAACTTTCTAGTATCTTTGGGAAAGCTCAAATGTTCCTCACTTACTAAACCCATAATTTCCATTAGAGTACCTATATAAAATGTTTTTTAAGAAGTAACATAATATTGAATTAGGATTAAGCATAAAAACGCTTTAAAAGTTTAAGATAAATCCTTTTTGGAACATGTATAATCTGAGAATGTTCATGAGTTTTTCTATTCCGTATTATTCATTCACTATAATAATACTTAAAAAACACGACTACCTAAAATAAACTAATACACATGCATATTATAATAATAATGATAAACTTTATTGGCTGGCTATATAAAGGACACGACAAATTTTACACCAGTGCTTATATATTTTTCACTTTTATCTAATTTTATCTGTTGCTAAACTTGGTTGAAATCTATTTCAGTATACAGCGCTTCTATCCTCGGCAAATATGTAAAACATTCTAAGCAGATCTAACAATCACAAATAATTAACTTGTATTAGTTATTGGTAGGATATGATATAATTAATAGAGTATAAGTACCTATATTTAATATTGTATAGTTAGTAAAGTAAGTTGTCCTGCTGCTATGTAAGATGATTGTGAATGAATGTGTGTAAGAGGGTGTGTAGTAGGTATAGGTAATAGTATTCATAGATATCTTTGATCAACACGGTATTTTCAATAGTTGAAAGTACGAATACCGTTCGTTGGATCGAAGTAAAATCAATTTCTTAACTGAATTTTTAAGAAGTGGATATACATTGGTACATTTATTTAGGTTACTGTATACCTATAAAAGATGAATGAATGAAATATTCTTTATTGTACCTACACCATGCAGTCAAAAAATTTACAGATATAGTCTAACAATCAGTACAATCGGCGGCCTTATCGCATTATCATCTCATCTTTTCCAGGTCACCACCATTAAAAACCAC